CCCCAAAACCCCAAAACCCCAAAACCCCAAAACCCCGGACGATGAATTAACATGAGATTAAGAAAGTCGATTAATAGATTTAATATATAAAAGACTTTTGAATTTAAAAATAATGTCTATTTCATCAATGAGATCGAAAAAAACCTCGCGCTATAAATCTTAGCACCCTGATTCAGACGAAGACGATTACATCTCATAGTTCTTTCAAAGGTACGAGTAAAAGGTCCATCCTGCCCTGAATTTACTTTTCGCTGAGAAAGGCAGTGAGCTGATCCTTATATACCTTGACAATTACGAAGTACAAAAAATCGGAATGGGTAAGTTTCATCAAATTCTTTTCCCCATAAAATTCGAAATTAATCAATTATATGAGTGGAGTCAGTCAAGCATGGTACAATTAAGTCAATTCGTATACCCTCTTTACAACCATATTGAAGTCAATGAAGGAAGTAGTTGATGAGGAGAGCAAGGAGAAAGACACTAAGTAGGTTAAAAACAAGTAGAAGGAGATTTTAGATGAGAATTAAGAGTTTACATCCAGCAGGCAAATAAGCGGATTAAAAAGAGGAGGGTAGAGCAAATTCTCATAGAGATTTAATATGATGGGTACAAACCAACAAATATCTGAGAGATAAATGACGCCTAGCACTACATCCTCTGAAGTCTCAGTAGACGAAAATTAATGGATAAAGAGACCACCACTTTAAAGTATATACGATCCATCAAAGGCAGCAGATCCTCTTGATCTTTTCAATAAGCTTTCTCAACGGGAATTAGGAACAATTCATGACTATATAAATCTATGGAACAGAAATATTTAAACTTTGCTAGACAAATTAAGGGATACCATTCCTGGTGAAGGAATGATTGGAGAAGTTCATTATTGGAGAGACATGGCCAGAATATTAGAAGCTATCAATGGAGAACTAAAGTAGAATTATGTCGAGATAAGTATATAAATACTAGCGAATTCAAAGGATAAGAGTATTATTGAATCGTTAGAAAAATTCTCCAAAGAAAAGAACAGAGTATTAGCTGGAGCAAAGGAAGCTCGATGGAATAATAAATATATGAAAGTCATTGAAAAGCCAGTATAATCGATTGAAAGATCCTAGGAGCTCAAGGAAATTCAGCTTGTTATTGTAGTTCTACTCAAGAGTCTGAAAAATATATATGAAAATTCTAACTTCTATAAAGAAGCTAGGATCGTCAGTTTTACTGATAGGCTACTGGATAGTATTCTAGGCAAGATAAAACCAAAGATAAATATTCATCAAAGTATCTTAAGAGGTGCGCGTGAATATGAGACTTTTTCTCAAGATATGCAATTCGCTTAATCTGTTATCACAAAGTTTCAAGAAGTAATACATTATATGTTTATTGAAATCTTTTTAGAACTTTTGGATTGTAAACTTGATGAGAGAAAGTAAGGAAATGTACTTTGGAGACGAAAAGAAGTAAATAAATGAGTAGTCATAGATGAATTAAAGTTACTATTCAAAGCAAGGTTTAGATTTCTTGTATTTTGCCAGACCTGGAACTGCCTATGGGGCTCAAGCTTTTTAAAATGCTAGTTTAGGAATGACTCAAACAATGTCTGGGTTTTATGATGGAAAGTCCTAAACTGTTAAACCAATTGAGATGATTAAATCTAAAAGCTAGAACAATTAAAGCAGACTTGTGACATAAATGTGGTTTGAAAGAGCTCAAAAGATTCTAAATCAACTTGAACATCTATAAAAATTATTTGAATTCTTCTCCTATTCCTCCTTGATTGCTAATAGAATTGCTTAGGAATATGTGCCTGAGTTGAGGAATGAAAAAGATAAATTTTTAAGGCTAAAAAAGAATGAATTTATCAAGGAGTTGAAGTAATTCTTGGAGCTATATTCTGCTTATTAGCTAGAATATGATTACTTTGATCATAAAAACATTACCACATTCAGTTACTTCATTGTAAGGTTAAGTTTTTATCAAAATATTTTAGGAAAAATTTGAAACAAAAGCATAGGAACTAGAAGGTAAGTTCAATAGGATCTGCAATGGATAGATGGAAAATGAGGAGACGAAAGAAGGTAAAAAATAATTGAAAAGATTTTTATAGATTATAATTAGAAAAATAATTCGAGAGAAAAACAATCAAAGAGCTACCCCCTCTCAGGAGCAATAGCAGTCTCAGGAAGATAAGATAATGAAAAGAATAGCAAAGTTAAATAAATCTAGCAGTAGGAAAAGCATGCTGATTTCTAATATGAGGACCCAGTCAATAATAATATTGAGGATGATCAATTCGAATCGCCTTTCATGTGCTCAGCTTCATGGAAGATATCATGAGAGTCGCTTATTATAAATTAATCAAACTAACAATCTAAATGTTATATCTCTTTAAGAAACATCATCTAAATATCATAAACTCTTCTTAAGTTAATTATATTATTTATATCAATATGCTGTAGCGATGCTTTATCAATAGTATCCTGGAGCTCCTCCTTGTGGGGGCATACCGTACATGTCTTATTATTCTTCTGCACCTGTAAGTTAAGCCCACATAGCTAAAAGAAGGGGGCTGTATGGCTTTGAGAGGAGACCTATTTTAATTGTTTTAGAATGTGCATTTTAGTCATATTGAATAATTTGTTAGGTATAATACTTACCATAAAGGACAATGGCTGGAACTGACCCCCAGTAAATGGCTCTAAGGAAGTAATCGTAGAAAACATTGAAGTATTGGTTAAAGTTGTGTCTTAAAGCTTTAAAGTTGTGACCCATTTTATTTAGTGGCTGATTTTATATTTATTATAATTAATATTGAGTGATTTTATCAACTTTAAAATTAGACCAGTTTTATTGACACTTAAATTAAACTCTATTAAATTTTAAAATGGCAGATTAACCACCTCTTTCTTAAGAATAAAAAAAGAAGCTAAGTCTTACATCAATGGCAGAGTTCTTAAACAATGAAACTTTGTCAGATATCACAGTCACAAATCCTGCTTCAGGGGCTTAATACAAGTAAAAATTACTGATTGATAAAATTATTTAGAGCTCACAAAGTTATTTTAGCCAGTGGATCTAAATACTTTTTAGAACTATTTGTTTCTGAGGATGCTTCAAAGATTAATCTTGTAAATAGTAATTTGATAATTCAACAATTGTAGTTTGAAGTGCCTAAGCCTATTGAAGTTAGTGGGGATCATCCAGATGATATAGTCAGCAAAATCCTTAAATACTTCTATCATAATTAGGTAAGTTTTTATCAAACTATCGATTTTATATCAGTCGTTTCATAAGTTGACCTATCTCATATTATTTTTAGGACTTTACTGTTATTGAAAATGAAATCACAGAGACCAATGCTCCTTTCATATTCTCATAAGCTTTCGTATTAAAGGCAGAGAATTTGAAGAAATCTCTAGAGCAGCGCATTATTGAGAAAATTCTTAACCCTTCTAATTGCACATAATACTTTTTCGAGAGTATCAAATTCAAAAGCTAAGCAATCCAAAAGGCATGTGAAGATTTAATAGTTATGAACTTCGCAGACATCGCGTAGAAAGATAAGGGAACTGAATTTTTGAAAGAGTTACCTTTTGATTAATTTAGAAATCTTTGTGCTGCTGATAACCTATACATATAGGAAGAAAAAATAGTAGTAGACTTGATTGAAGGTTATCTCAAGCATAGAGAAAATTTGCCATTACTTGATGAAGAGAATCCTCTAAAAGATTGGTCTAATTTGACCTAAGCAGAGAAGGACAAAAGGCTTGAAGAAGAAAAAAAGCAACGTGAAGAAGAAAAGAAAGCCAAGGATGAAGAGGAGAAAAAGGAAAATGATGAGTTCGCAAAGCTAGATGAACTGGGAAAGATTCAACACAAGTGGAGAAAAAAGGTAGTTGAAATTGAAAGCAAGGCAAAGGAAAGACTAGCAGTTAAACGATTGAATAAAGCTCAAAAGACAGAACTATTTAAAACGATTAGATATAGCTTCTTACGGCATGAAGAGTTGTTACTTATGACTATGAACCCAGTTTATGAACTTGCTAAAAATTTCATTGTTGAGGGACTTTCAGTTAGGCTTGATAGTTATGAAACAACTTTGAAGAAGGAACTTCAGATTAACATTGAGCCTAGAGTATATTTTGAACCCGAAACTAATAAAACAATAAATACATCTATTGATACTAAGGGTCAACCGATGGGAGGTGGAGTTGGATTAGGCAATATGTTCAAATAAGCTTTAGCATAGAAATAGTAATCACCAGTCAAGATGAATCAAAATCATTCTAAACCATATGCAAACTATTATGAGAGAAAGATTGACGAGGAAAGAGAAGTTTAAAAAGATGTACTAAAGAGAGGTGTCATTGGGCCTGCTATTAAGAATATGTTTGCAGAATCCTAAAAGAGATAAAACTAGCCCAATTAGCTGAATCAATCCTTAAATGTATTTAAGAAACCAACAGATCAATTATCATAAAGTATGATGATGTTGCCCCAAAGTGGACCAAAGCCACCTCAGAAGAATCTTAATAACTCAGCAATCTTAAATGATTACTTGAGTGAGCGACCAACTGAGTTTATATATGAGCATGACTTTGATGAGAATGGTGTCCTTTACTTCTTAGGTTCATTTGGAAAAAAGAAGATGTGGCAGAATCCTCACTTGATTGGCTAGGTCTAGGCATTTACATCATCTCTAGGAGCAGGAACTGTTGATAACTTTGTTGGCAGAATTGCAACTAACTGTAGAACCCAAAATGAACCCTTTTCATATTTCGGTGTTGATCTTGGCTAAGGTAGAAGCCTTTTGCCAACTTGCTATACTATTAGAAACAGAAACTCTACTACTCATGTTTTAATGAATTGGCATCTTGAAGGTTCTAACGATAAAACTAATTGGGAGATCCTTGACAGAAGGATTTACTTAGGTCTAAATGATGGTGATGCTTAATTGGAAGAAGAATAAAAGCATCTTAAGTAGAAGGGTGTTGCAAGCACTTGGGGTGTTGATACTGACATTTATAGAGAACTTGGCTTTGAAGGGTACAGATTCTTCAGAATAATCTAAGTTGGTAAAAATAGCTCTGGTTCAGACAACTTGGCTTTATCTGGCTTTGAGGTTTACGGAAAGGTTGTCAGAGGTAGATTCCCATGAATTTAAATCGAACTAAAATAAAAAATAAGACTTTTCATTTTTTAATTTTCATAAATCAGTCAATCTATAATTTCTAATCACACTTGGGGTTTTGGGGTTTTGGGGTTTTGGGGTTTTGGGGTTTTGGGG